GGAGGATGACAACAGGTTTTCAAGTAACCTAGGCTGGCCTCAAACTCTTATAACCAGGGATGACTTTGAACTTTATTTTCTTGTTTATTATTTTTTTTCCTGGGTGGTGTTGGCACATGCCTTTAATTCCAACACGAAGGAGGCAGAGGCAGGCGGCTCTTTGAGTTTCAGGCCAGTTTGTTTTGCAGAGCAAGTTCCAGGACAGCCAGGGCTACACAGAAAAACCTTGTCTTGAAAAACCAAAAACCAAAGCAAAATAAAACAAAACCAAAAAAAATTGTAAGATTATTTCTATTTTATGTGTATGTGCTTTTGCTGCCTGGATGTCTGTACCACTTTATGTCTGGTTCCTAAAAAGATCAGAAGGCGGCACTGGGGTTCCCCTGGAAACGGAGTTAGGGAGAGTTGTGAGCCATCATGAGGCACAGAACCTGGGTCCTTTGAAAGAGTAAGAAGTGCTCTTAACAGATGAACCATCTCTTCAGTCCCAGTCTTGAACTTTTGATCCTCCTGTCTCTACTTCCAAAACGGGGACTTTTTCGTTATGTGCCACCATTCCTAGTTCATGGGGTGCTGGAGGTCAGACCCCACAGTCCAGTGAGACCTCAGCCCTCAGGCTCACATTCTCTATCCACAGATGCAGTGCACAGGAAAGCCTGTGAAGGCCGTGGTTTCTGTGCCCTGGCAAATGTTGGCACAGTGGGATTTCATTCTGGGTAAAGGAGGAAGTTGCAAAGATAACACACCCAAGAGGTCAGCATGCGGAATCCTGTAGTCCACCTGAGCCTCTTTCAGAAGATGCTGGAAACACTGCATTGCCACACCGGGGGAGGCAGGAACTGTTAATGTTGTAGAAACCCTGCATCAGACAGAAGTGGGGGGGGGAGGCAGGAGCTGTGCTAATGTTATAGAAACTGCATCAGATAGAACAGGGGAGGCAGGAGCTGTGCTAATGTAGTAGAAACTGTATCATACAGACAGGAAGGCAGGAGCTGTTAATGTTGTGGTAACTGCATCAGACAGACAGTGTTGGGCGGGCAGGAACTGCGTTAATGTTGTGGAAACTGCATCATACAGACAGGGGAGGCAGAAGCTGTGCTAATGTAGTAGAAACTGTATCATACAGACAGGAAGGCAGGAGCTGTTAATGTTGTAGAAACTGTATCATACAGACAGTGTTGGGGGGCAGGAACTGTGTTAATGTTGTAGAAACTGCATCATACGGGGGGGCTGTGTTAATGATTCATAAAAGTTGGTAGGGGAAACCCCTCATCTCACACTTCTTGGAGCCAGACCACAGGGGAGGCATGACACACCTGCAGACCCCTCTGCATCTCGTCCTGTAACTATTCCTGTATTTCTGTACTGTTTACTGTAAAGAGGCATAAGAACCTGGAAACTCCAGGGCCTGCCCTCCAGATTCACATGCAGCAATTCAAACCACTGAACTGTACAATGCTCTATTTTCTGTGCTTTTTTAAAAAGCAGTTTATTACTCTGTAATTGTCCTAGTCAGTGTTCTATTGCTGTGAAGAGACACAATGACTACGGCGATTCTTATAGAGATCATTTACTTGGGGCTTGCTTACAGCTTCAGAGGATTAGTCCATTATCACCATGATAGGAAGCATGTGTTGGTGAAGTAGCTGAGAGCTATATCATAATCTGCTGTCTGGGAGAGAGACAGTGGACCTTGGGCCTAGTGTGGGCTTTGAAACCTCAAAGCCCACATTGACATACTTCCTTCAAGGCTACACTTTCTTTTTCTTTTCTTTTTGCTTTTTTGAGACAGGGTTTCTCTGTTGCTTTGGAGGCTGTCCTGGAACTCGCTCTGTAGACCAGGCTGGCCTCGAACTCACAGAGATCTGCCTGCCTCTGCCTCCCGAGTGCTGGGATTAAAGGCGTGCGCCACCACCGCCCAGTGCCCCTGTAAAATTAAAGTAAAAATCAGTTTCACACACCTCCAATATACAAAGGTGTGGAATATACGTACTATTCCAAAAGGGGGGAAAGGAGGAATAGTGAGGAAATACTGGACCAAAGCAAGACTTAAACCAGGAGGCCCACTCCAAACTCTGCATCTCCATGTCTGATCTTTAGCTACTTTCAGCTTGTTGGCTGCACCACACTTGTCTCTCCTGGACTGGTTCCACACCCAGTCTGCAGCTCTCCTTGCAGGTATCCCACAGCTCTCACCTCTCCAACATCTTGGGATCTCCAGCACAATCCAGGCTTCACACCGTGGCCTCTCTGAGCCTCTATGCAGGGACACTCCTGACACATGAATGGCTTCAGTGACCTTCTTAGCCATGGAGGGAGATTGCTCAATACCTTTCTTATATTGTTGACATGAAAGCCAGACCACTTTGCCGAAACTGCCAAATTCTGCTGCTTGATGGGTTGGGTTGGAACTTGGTTCCCTGGTTCAATTGCATCTGCACCTGCTTTCTGGAATACATGGTTTCCTTCACTGCTTAGGTTTTTCTTTAATTTCTTTTCACAAGTTGGTAGCTTAGTGGGTCTTGCCCTGAGGTCACCACTCCTTTTATTCCATTTAACATCAGGGTTTTATTTGAACTTTTTATCTCATTGAGCACTAGACACAGCTCCATTACACTTCCTGGTGCTCCTTTCTTCTTCAAACTGTACATTTTGTATTTTTCCTTGCTTAGTTTGCCCCTTTTCATTATGCATTTATATAAAAGTGACAACTAGTACCATTCAACAGTCAATACTAGGCTATTTTGAACTCTCTTCTGCCAGTGCCATTAATCTAAAACTCTTCAATTTAGCCTTAGGCAGATTTTTCTTTTTTTGGACAAGGACAAAAAGCAGCTACATTCTTCACCAAAATACCACAAGAATGATCTCTAGACCACTTATTAATACTTTTTTCCTCTGAAACCTCTAGAGCTGGGCTCTCATAATCTACATTGCTCTCAGCATCTCTTACTGGTATGGCCCATTATAACTCACTGAAAGTGTTCAACTGTTTTTCTAGTCCAGAGTTCCAAAGGTCTTTCAACAAACAGCATGGTTATGCCTATCACAGAAATACCCCAGTCTCTGGTACCAACTTCTCTGTCTTAGTCAGTGTTCTGTTGCTGTGAAGAGACACAGTGACCAAGGCAGTTCTTATAAAAGAAAACATTTAATTGGGGCTTGCTTGCAGTTTCAGAGATGTAGTCCATAATTATCATTATGGGGAGCATGGCAGCATGCATTGGACTGGAGCAGAAGCTGAGAGTGACATTCTGATCTGATGGCTCTGAGATACTGGGCTGGGTATGGGCTTTTTGAAACCTCAAAGCCCAGTGACTCTCTGCTTCCAACAAGGCCACACCTTCTATTCCTTTTCAAATGGTGCTACTTCCTGATGACTAAGCATTCAAGTATACGAGTCTATGGGAGCTTTTTATTTTAATTTTATGTGTATATTTGTCAGTGTGAGGGTATTGGATCCCTTAGATCTGGAGTTACAGTTGTGAGCTGCCATGTGAGTGCTGGGAATTGAATGTAGGTCTTGTGGAAGAGCAGCCAGTGTTCTTAACCTTTAATCCAGCACTCAGGCAGAGGCAGGCAGATCTCTGAGTTCAAGACCAGCCTGGTGTACAAGAGCTAGTTCCAGGCCAGGCTCCAAAGCCACAGAGAAACCCTGTCTCGAAAAACAAAACAAAGCATTGAGAGAACACAGCTGTGAATCTCTTTCTCAGCATGAGCCAAGCCCAGTGTCTGCTGTGCTGGAAGCAGCTGTGAGTCTCTTTCTCAGCATGAGCCAAGCCCAGTGTCTGCTGTGCTGGAAGCAGCTGTGAGTCTCTTTCTCAGCATGAGCCAAGCCCAGTGTCTGCTGTGCTGGAAGCAGCTCTTGTGGTGCTTTGTCTTAACACGTGTCTCCTGCTGAAGTGCGGTGGATGGAGTGGAGGCTGCTCTAAGGCTCAGCGCTGTGAAGATTTTTGTAGGGTCAGAGCGCTCATGCTTCTCCCTTCTATCTTCTCCCTGTCTTCCTGCTGATTTCCTTGCACAATTGCATGCTTTTTATTTTTATTTTACGTGTGTGACTATTTTGCCAGCATGTATATCTGAGCATCATGCTTTGCTCTTACAGGCCAGAAAGGGCACCAGAACTCCTGGAACTGGAGTCACAAGCAGTCGTGAGTCACCATGTGGGTGCTGGGAACTGAACCTGGGTCCTCTGGAAGAGCAGCCAGTGCTTTTAACTGCTGAGTCATCTCTCTAGCCCACCTTGTACAATTTTAAAGAAGGGCAGAGAGAAAAAGAAAAATTATGCTTGTGATAAATCCATCAATAAGTCAGACATGGTGGCCCCAGCTGCAGTCCCAGCATTTGAGAGGATAGGTAGGGAGATCCTGAGTTGGAGGTTGGCCTGGGGTAATATAGCTGGATACTGACTAAGGCCAACAAACCAGCTGGGGAGACAGATGGCTTAGTGGGTGAGATGATTGCTGTGGAAGCATGAAGCCCTGAGTTCGGATCCCTGGCATCCACGTAAAGTCTAGTCCGGCTGTATGCCTGTGATCCCAGTGCGGGGGATGGGGGGAGTAGGGGGATAGGGGGAGTGAGGGGGTGGAGACATGGCCTGGGGCTTATTGGCCAGTCAGCCAGCCTAGCTGGGAAATGGTAAGGTTCAGTGAGAAGCCTTGAACTCAGTCATCCAGGGATAGCGTCGGTGCTCACAGTAGGCAGGAAGTACACGATTACAAATGTAAGCAATGTGACAGCCTTCAGTAGTTGTCTTGGTACAGAGTGCAGTACAGCATAGCACCCGACACCCTCCACATGTGCACGAGGAGCACACACAGCATGAATAAAACCAAACAAGCCAGCCGGGCGTTGGTGGCGCACACCTTTAATCCCAGCACTCGGGAGGCACAGGCAGGCGGATCTCTGTGAGTTCGAGGCCAGCCTGGTCTACAGAGTGAGTTCCAGGACAGCCTCCAAAGCCACAGAGAAACCCTGTCTCGAAAAACCAAAACAAAAAAAAAACCAAAAACCAAAAAACAACAACAACAACAACAAAAAAACCAAACAAGCCAACAGGTAAAATGCACAGAATAGCTCCATGTGTTTTGGTGCCAATAATTTATAAGAAGGTGAATGGGGACTAAAGTGAGAATTCTGGTAACCATATTCATTTATCATAAACTAAAAGTGTAGAGACCATAGTTTTGTATGTAAATGTATTTTTAAAGGAAGGTTTATTTTTATTTATGTGTATATGACTATGTTAGAATGTGCTATGTGTGCTGCCTCTCCCCTCAGCAAGAAAGAGGGTGTTAAATATCTGGGAGCTGGTGTTGTGAGCAGCTCAGTGTGGGAGCTGGGAACTGGACTCAGGTCCTCTGAAGAGCAGCCAGTGCCCCTTAACTGTTGAGCCATCTGCCATCTCTGTGCCCCCTTATGTAAGTGTCTTACGAATGAGAACAGGTTCTTTGTGCTACATGTATATCTCTCTCCCCCTTGTAAACATACTTGGGGTGTTTCAGGACTTTGTGACCTTCGAGGATGTGATTGTGAATTTCACCCAGGATGAGTGGGCTCTGCTGGATTCTTCCCAGAAGAACCTTTACAGAGAGGTTGTCGGGGAAATCTTTATGAACTTGGCTTCGATGGGTAAGGATGACAGCTTCTTACTTTCTCAATTAGACAGCATGCTTTGCCCATCGGTGTTGGCCTGTGAGTGGAAATGTGGAAAGGAGTGCTCTGGTAAATAGACACAGCGTCAGCAGGGCGTTGGTGGTGCACGCCTTTAGTCCCAGCCCTTGGGAGGCAGAGGCAGAGGCAGGTGGATCTCTGTGAGTTTGAGGCCAGCCTGGTCTACAAAAATGAGTTCCAGGACAGCTAGGGCTGTTACACAGAGAAACCCTGTCTTGAAAAACCAAAACCAAACAAAAAGCTATAGCATCATTGCACCAGTTCCTAGAGTATAATACATTCTCTCTAATAATTCAGTTTTCTCCCCTCTGTTATAGGAGAAAGATGGGACCAGAATATTGAAGACTGGTACAGAAATCAGGGGAGAATCTTAAGGTAACTCTCACTGAAAGCAGAAAGGAATGTCCCACAAAATAAGTAGGAGCTGGGTTGATAGTTCAGGTGGTAAAATGCCTTCTATGCAAGTGTGAGGACCTGCATTTGATCCCTAGAATCTATGTAAAAGCCAGGTGGGTGTGGGGACATGTGCTTGCAATCCCAGCTCTGGGGTGTGTAGAGGTAGGTGGACCTCTGGGGCTTACTGGCCAGCCAGCCTAATCACACTGGCTAGTTAATTGTGAAAGTGGAAGAGCCTGTCTCAGAAAATAAGGTAACAAAGAAGACACCTGAGGTTGACCTCTGGCCCTCACGTGTACACGTGGGTACACATATACACAGACATGGAATTGTAGTTAGTTATGAAGTTTTAAAACAATAAGCCCTCCCATCTGCATGTTTATTTATCTTTACATTTTGGGAGTGAGAGAGTGTGTGTGTGTGTGTGTTCACATGCACGTGCGCACATGCCTACAAGGGCCAGAGGTATTGGAATGCTTGGAAGCTGGAGTTAAGTTCCAGGTGTCCAATGTCCTCTTCTGGCACAACCTGGTATTCAGACATGTAGTCAAATAGGTAAGACACCTGTAGACACAAAATCTAATAAAAACAAAAGCATTAAAAATTAACAGTACACACTCTTAATTTCTGAGATATCCCTTTATCTCCCTAGTGAAAATATGGACTTGAAGCATATCCAGTAAGATGAAATTGTGAGTAAAGCATTTGTAATGTGTTCTGATTTTTTTTCTCAACAGCAACCATATTATAGAGAGATTTGGTAACAGCAAACAAGGTAGCCATTGTGGAGAAACTTTCAGTCAAACTCTTGACCATGATCTGAAAAAGAAAAGTTCTGCTGGAGAGAAACTCTGTGAATGCGGTATGTGTGGAATAGTCTTCACACCTCACTCACTCAGGAGTACCATCCATGCTCATACTGGACAGGAAGCGCCTGATTACAAACGTGAGCGGTGCAAGACAGCCTTCAGCAATTACTCTTTCCAAATCAACGACCGGTCTCACGCTGAAGACAAAGCTTATGAATGTCAGGAACATGAGGAAGCCTTGCTTTCTTTTTCCAGCCTTGGTGAATTCATTATAACCCATGCTGAAGGTGGGCCCCATAAATGTAAGGTGTGTGGAAAAGGTTTGCACTATCCCAGCTCACTTAGAATCCACGAACGAATTCACACAGGAGAGAAGCCTTATCAGTGCGAACAGTGTGGAAAAGCCTTCAGTTGCTGGGGCTCAGTTAGAAGACATCAGAGGACTCATACTGGCGAGAAACCCTACACTTGTAAGGAGTGTGGGAAACCCTTCAGCTCTCTTTCAGGCCTTAAAGGACATATGCTAAGGCATACTGGAGGTAGCCCCTATCAATGTAAGGAGTGTGGAAAAGTCTTCAATTCGCCTAGTTCACTTGGTAAACACGAAAGAACTCACACGGGAGAGAGACCTTTTCTGTGTAAATACTGTGGGAAGGCCTTCATTTGTTCAACTTCAGTTAGAAAACATGAAAGAACTCACACTGGTGAAAAACCCTATGAATGTAAGCGGTGCGGGAAGACCTTCATTTCTAACTCAGGCCTTCAAGGGCACATGATCAGGCACACTGGCATTGGGCCTTACAAATGTAAATTCTGTGGGAAGGCCTTTGGCTCTCCCAGTGCGGTTCTAAGGCATGAAAATGCACATGTTGTATAGGATTCTTGTGACTAGAACTGGGACAACCTTCACTTTTGGTCATTTGAGGACACATCAAGTATCTGAGGAAATCTTTTACCATCCTAGTTCAGGTAGAGAAAAGAATTACTGGAGGGAGACCCTGTTTGGAGACTGGGAAAGCCATAAACTCAGATTTTATCTAGAATGCATGAAGAGACTGAAGGAAAAAGCTTATAGAAACCGTGTGTGTGTGTGTGTGTGTGTGTGTGTGTGTGTGTGTGTGTGTGTAACAGCATATTTTGTTGGGTTAGGCAAGAAGATACATTGAAGATGGGTTCTTAAGTTAGGCATGACGGCACAGGCCTCTTTTATTCCCAGTACTGGGAGGTGGAAGCAGGAGGATCAGGAGCTCATGGTCATCCTCCTATGTAGCAAATCTGAGATCAGTGTGGGTTACATGACACACAGATGAATCTCTGTGAGTTCAAGGCCAGCCTGGCCTATATAGTGAGTTCCGGGACAGCCAGGTCTATATAGTGAAATTCTGTCTCAAATAAAGGGGTTGGGAGATGCTCAGTAGTTAAGAATGTTTGCTGTCCTTCCAGAGAGCCTAAGTTCTGTGGTCAGCACCCATATTGGAAATCTTACAGCTGTGTGTGTAAGTTCAGCTACAGGGGATTTGAAGCTCTCCTCTGGCCTCTGCATGCTCTGCACTCAATATACATACACATCATTTAAAAAAGATGGATGATTTCTCAAGTTAGCACCCAGGGGACAGATTACAGTCTATGGAGAAGTCTTTGGGGTGGCATGTAAAGGCCTGTGGGAATGAACCTTTTGTTTTAATTTTATTGTGGGGGCATGAGTGGAGGCCAGAAGATAACTCCGTGGCATTAGTCCTTTCCTTCCACCTTTACACAGTTCCGGGGGGGATCTCAGATTATCAAGATTAGCAGCAGGCAGAGCCTTCACCTGCCGAGCCATCTTGTTAGCCTAGCCGTCTCTCTCTCTTTGGGATTACATCTTGCCATTAGGATGTCCTGGAACTCAACAATCCTCCTATCTCAGCCTTGAAGTGTTTTGGGAGTAACATTTGGAAACAAATTTTCATTTATTAAAGTGTGGGCATGTGCAGCATTAGGCAGGCAGAGGCAGGCGGATCTCTGTGAGTTCGAGGCCAGGCTGGACCGATAGCCTCCGAAACAGAGAAACCCTGTCTCGTAAAAACCAAAAAAAAAAAAAAAAAAAGTGTGGGCATGTGGGGGAGAAGCATGTGCTTGTGGAGATCACAGATCAACTTTTTTTTTTGGGTTTTTTTTTTTGGTTGTTACGAGGCAGGGTTTCTCTGTATTGTTTTGGAGGCTATCGGTCCAGCACAGATCAACTTTATGGAGTCCATTCTCCCCTTTCTTTACACGGGTTTTGGGGATCAAACTCAGGTTAGCACACTTGCCCAGCAAGTGCCTTTATCTGTGGAGCTGTCTTGTCAGCCCTAATTGGTTGCATTTTTGGTATTTCCAGACAGGGTTTCTCTGTGTAACAGTCCTGGCTGTCATAGAACTTGTTTTGTAGACCAGGCTAGCCTCAAACTCACTGAGATCTGCCTGCCTCTGCCTCCCTGGTGCTGGGATTAAAAGCGTTTGCCACCACTACCTGGTTAATTGGTTGTTTTTTAGCGCATGCGAGTGTGTGTGTGTATTTGTGCCAGTGCGAGTGTGGAGATCAAAGAAAAACCTCCAGGTGTTGGCCTGTCCCAAACTGAGTCAGGATCTCTTGTTTGCATTTACTATTCTAGCTGGCCCAGGAGCAATTAAATCACTTGTAATTTAAAAAAAGCAGCGTGAGAGAAAAAAGACACCATACATAGAACTCACGTGGAGGGTTTTTTTTTTAAGTTAGGTGAAAGGGAATGAGAAAAGGGAGTTAGGGAGAGGGAAAACTGGTCTCTGGGGACAGGAGCAGTAGAAGAGAAGGGGGGGGGCACAATGACAGAGACAGGCAGAGAAGCAGAGAGAGGGGAGTGAGAAAGAGTGTGTGTGTGTGTGTGTGTGTGTGTGTGTGTGTGTGTAAGACAGAGAACAGCACACAGGGAAAGAGAGACGGGAAGTGGCAAGGCCCACCTTTTAAAAGGGAACACAGTGAATGTGCACAGGAGGTGCTCTCAGTGGCTGCAGCTGAGGGCGTATCCTGTCAGAACCCCAAGGACAGTCAGTACAGATGCTTGAATACTAACATCACTACTGTGGTGGTTTGAATGAGAATGACCCCACAGACTCATATATTCGAATATTTGGTCTCTAACTGGTGGAACTGTTTGGGGAGGATTAGGAGGTGTGACCTTGTTGGGGGAGGTGTGTCACTAGGGATGGGCTTTGAGGGAAAGACTCAATCTATTCTGACTCTCTCTGCTTCCAACCTTCAAATCAGGATGGACTTGCCGGTATGCTTTTGCTCCACCCCCATAGATTCATCACCCTCCGAAGCTGCAAACCCCAGATTAAATGCTTTTCTTTTATAAATTGTCTTGGTCACGGTGCTTTATCACTGTAAATGGAAAGTAACTAAGAAAACAGAAAATGAAAAAGTAAATGACTTAACTGAGATTGGCTTAATGTAGATTGATTGCTATCATTCTGGTATTTCATAGTTTGTTCTTTTGGTTTTTTGAGACAGGGTTTCTCTGTGTAGCCCTGACTGTCCTGGAACTTATTTTGTAGACCAGGCTGGCCTCAAACTCATGAGATCCACCTGCCTCTGCCTCTTGAGTGCTGGGATTAAAGGTGTCTGCCACTGCTGCCCAGATTTTTTTTAAAGTATTTATTTTTAGTGCATTGAATTTTTGCCATGGGTATCAGGTCCCCTGGAACTGCAGTTACAGACAGTTGTGAGTGTGCTGGGAAATGTGGGTGCTGGGAATTGAACCCAGGTCCTCTGAAAGAGCAGTCAGTGTTCTTACCTGCCGAATCATCTTTTCAGTCCCCATATTTTATTCTTAATAACCATAGTGACCCTCTGCACCCTCTTAAAGAAAAAAGCTTTAGAAACATAAGAAAAAGAAAAATATAAGAGATGGGTTGATAAAAGGCAAACCTTAGAAGAAAAATTAGAAAGACTTATAAATAAAAATGAGAAAGATACTAAAAGACAGGGATTAAGACAAGGGCCTACCATGTCTCTGTATAATGAAATAAAAGGTCAGTAGTTTATCCAGTTACTCTACAAAAATACCAGAAGATGATAGGTGCCCTAAGATTGTGAAGAATTTTGATGGCATCCCATAGCCATGCTAGATTTTAAAAACATCTAAAGAATGGGGCTGGAGCCAGGTATTGGTGACACACCATTCTATATATTTTAAGGATGTCTTAACTTCAGAAGTCAGGAAATGTGTTGTGTTGGGGAAAAGGTTATGCCTTTGTTTCCACAGGAAATGAAAAGCTATGAACTCCTTCAAAATTAATAAAGATCAGATTTGACTGAGAGAGACATCCTGAAAATATTGGCTGCAGACACGAAGAAACAAATCAAGAAAAACCACAAGACAGGTGACATATATGCTGATCCCTCTATATCAGAACAGCTCGGAGACTGAGACATGATAAATCTTTTTGGGTACAGAATTCTCATGACCTATCTCATTACATGCCATCCTTTCATATAGCATGGAGATTTATATAACAGTTTTTATGCAGGTGCCATTTGCCTGCTCAAACCTAGAGCAGAGAATCATGTCTAGCTGATTTGTGCACACTGCACATTCCATACTTGTGTTAATTCAGATATGTATGTTACCTTTAAAAAAGTTTGTGTGTTTTCAGAACTAAAGGACCAGATACCAATGAAGACAGGACAAGTAACCCAGGTGATCCAGCCTCTTAGAATGTCTCCATTGCTGTTTCCTCAAAAAACCTGCATCCAGGACAGCTTCAAAGAGGCTAGCTAAGATGGTCCAGCTTCACAGATTATTCCAGTCAGGACTTCAGTTAAGCCCTGCACTTTCCGTCACACAGAGACTGGACAACAAATGATACAGCTCGCTCCCCCAGGGCTTGACCATTATCCTAATTTTCTTGGAGTCCCCAAAGATGCTGTTGCCCCAAGACAACAGGAAACAATGTTAAGAACATGACACCCACCTTCATGAGAGGTGGGATGGGTGTTTTTGTTTGTTGTATGGGTTATAGATGTTTGCTGTTGTTTAGGGATTGGCTGCAAGTTGTTATTTGTGGTGATGCAAATTTAAATTTATATTAGTTATCCTGTACATATATTTCTACTCTTGTTTAAGTGATTTTTGTATATTGATACAAGTTAAGGTCATCCCTGTTACACCATACTGTATATATTTTCTTCTCTTGTTTAGGTTTTGTACCTATGAAACTCATTTAAAAATGTAATGTAAAGGTCTGGTCCTTGAAAGCTACTATTACAAACTGTTTAGGATAGTTCAGAAATGCAGCTTAGTAGTTAGTCACCTATAACAATCAAACTTGTAGTCATGTTAGGTATGTTTTCAAGGTTAAACAGAGATATAGTTTAGATAGGTGGTCTTCAAACACTTCACAGATCTACAGAATATGGCGTTTAAGATGTTTAAATAACAAGGATTTTCATGACATGGGCTATATCTGCTCCTGGCAGCACCAATCTACTTCAAAGAAGATGGTGGGCATCAAAGAGCCTCCACACAGAGCTCCTTCAAATGTAGCAAAGCTAGCCACTGGGCAAGACACTGCCCTTCCTCAACTGAGGCAGAATGCTGTCCAGACTGGACAGGCAGCACACAAAGGAAGTTGACTGCTGAATTTTGCCAAGACAAAGTAGGCCAGTCCTACAAAAATTCCTGTTTCATAAAAAAATTATCTCAGATATTCTCATACTGTAGGCTGAAGATGGATGACCCAACATTGTAGATGAACCTTGGATAACTGTCCAAGCAGCCAGCGGTTTCTGTGATTTCTATAGTTTTGAAAGTTGCTCACTCTGTACTTCCTGGTTGAAGACTAGATACTTATACTCTTTTTTGTTTGTTTGTTTTTTCGAGACAGGGTTTCTCTGTATTGTTTTGGAGCCTGTCCTGGAACTCACTCTGTAGACCAGGCTGGTCTCAAATTCACAGAGATCCGCCTGCCTCTGCTTCCCGAGTGCTGGGATTAAAGGCATGCGCCACCACCGCCCAGCTGATACTTATATTCTTATAGTTTTCCTTGTTACAAAATTGAGAAAAGATGGTTATTAAAGAGATGTAAAGTTTATAAAAGTTGAGAGACATAAAAGCTTGCCGGGCGTTGATGGCACACGCCTTTAATCCCAGCACTCGGGAGGCAGAGGCAGGCGGATCTCTGTGAGTTCGAGGCCGGCCTAGTCTACAGAGCTAGTTCCAGGACAGCCTCCAAACATACAGAGAAACCCTGTCTCGAAAAACAAAACAAAAACAAAAACAAAAAAAGCTTAAGTTGTTTATCTAAGAAAATGTTTTAAGTTCTAAAAAGATATTTTTAAGTTAGTAATACTGTTGTGCCAGGTTTGTGGAATCCCAGAGACTAACCCAAGGGGTCGACACCGCTGATGCAAAAGCCAAAGGTTTCTTAGCTGCCAGCTGGGATCTCACCGCTTGGCGGGAGATGAGATGAGATGAGATGAGATGCTCACCAGCCAAACAGAGAAGCCTTTAAAGGGAAAGGGGGAGGGGGAGTCCTGAGTTTCAGTTTCCAAGGTAACAGAGATTACTTAGCATACCAAAGGTTATCATGAGACAAGGGTCTTGAGAAGAGGGGAGGAGTCCTGAGGCTGCAAGTCTCAGTAGGGTTGCCATAGTTACAGAGATTACTTAGCACAGCAAGGTTTTTATACAAGGTTATCATAAGACAAGGGCCTTGAGAAGACAATGACTGCCTTTGGTTAGGTAGAATTAACTGGCACACTGTGGTCTGGGATTCCATGGCCGGAGCCCATCCTGCGATTGTGGGCTAAGGGAGCAGCTGCCAATGCTGTTCCAGCTGCTCGTGGGTCTGAGCTTCTCATCACGTAACCCCCTCGCTTAGTTGGGGGCTTTTATTTATTTGTATTTATTATGTTTTATCAAAATTATGATAGAAAGTGATTTAGGTACAAAACTTTGGACTCACCAAAATAAGAGATAATAGAATACTTTCTCCAGAGTTGCCAAATACAAATGGACTGGACATTGTGAATGTAGTTCTTACCTGATAATTGTGCTTATTGATGTTAGAGAAAGAGCCTTTTATTGGACTAAAATGGGGAGAAATATCTCAATAGGGATAATCTTTTTGTACACTGCCTGAAGATGTGTTTGCATTTTACCTCGACTGCCTAAGGCACCTTCTGATTGATTTAATAAAGAGATGAATAGCCAATAGCTTGGCCAGACAGGATAGGCAGGTCTTCTGGGCAGAGATAAGAACTCTGGGAAAGAATCCGAGGCTGGAGGAGATGCACCAGCCGGACATATGGTACTGAGGAGAGGTAATGGCAGATCTGCCTGCCTCAGCCTCCGGAGTCCTGCGCCACTATGTCTGGGTTATTTTATTTGTTGTTGTTGGTTTTTGAGACAGGGTTTCTCTGTGGTTTTGGAGGCTGTCCTGGAACTAGCTCCTGTATATCAGACGGTCTCCAACTCACAGAGATCCGACTGCCTCTGCCTCCCGAGTGCTGGGGCCTGGGTTATTTTTATTTGTATTTGTGTGTGTGTGTGTGTGTGTGTCTGTCTGTCTGTCTGTCTGTCTGTCTTTCTGTGTGTCTGTGTGGGTTTGTGCATGTGAGAGCGAGAGCAGGTGGTCACAAAGCTAGAGAAGTTAACTTTCCTTGGAGCTGGAGTTATAGGTAGTTGTGAACAGTCTGACATGATGCTGGGAATCCAGTGAGGCCCTCAGAAGAGCAATGCATGTTCTTAATTGCTGAGCCATCTCTCCGGCCCCTGGCCTTTGGGGTCATCAGTCCCTTCCTCTCTCTTTCACTTCTCAGTCTTGAGGTGAGTTGACTTATTGTGCCCACATCCTCTGTGATGTGTTGCCTCACAGTGGGCCAGAAACACCGGGTCTCATCAGTCATGGACTGGAGCCTTCTAAACTGAACCAAAATAAGCATTAGTATTATAGATCACAAAAATTTGTGTGCATGTGAGTGCAGGTGTCCTCGGTGTCCAGAAGAGGGAGCCGTTACAAGTGCTTGTGAGCTGCCCAGCGTGGGTGCTGAGAATTGAAGTTGGGTTCTCTGCAATAGCAAATGTTCTTACCTATGAGCTGCCTCTCCAAGCCACCATCAGAAAAGGTTTTGTAAGGCAGGCTTCCCATCTATGAGGGAGGATGAAGACATCTCAATCACCTCTCACAGCAGCCTCCTCTTAATCCTTTGCTTCGAGCATTAAGGTTCAATATTAACACAAACCTTTCCTGACACTATTTTCGTAAAGATTATTTGAAAAGTTTTTTCTTACTTCTGTGTCTGCGTGGGTCTAGGATGTGTGTGGGGATGTGTGGTGTCCCTGTGGAGGCAGAAGAAGGCAGGTGCTGGGAAGAGCACGTGTGCTGGGCACCACCCCAGGCCCTCCTGACAAGATATGAATGGACAATTTTATAGTT